GCATGGAAGTGTAAGCCGAACAAAGAATTCATAGGGGAAGCTGTGGCTTTGTCAAGATCTTCCTTTTTCCAGAAGTGTACGATGATCCTCTTCAAATCGTTGGATCCACTACACGTGGCACGACTACCATAAGAGGAGAACAAGAAAAGTTGTCGATCAACCGCATCGCACGCGTCGCAGTTCGAAGCGAAGTGAGTCCAAAAGCCTTCGACGTCATTAGGAGCGGCCAAGGCATAATAAAGTGTAGGTTGAGATTGTACTGCAGCTTGGGACGCGTCCGGGAAGGCAGCACGTTCTGGGAAGGAAACTGCGGGAGTAATTTCTGGACTTTTGCCTTTATCATTATTGTTAGCAGGGGCGTGTTGAGAAGCGTCAAGAGAAGAGGTATCGGGTTGAGAAAGTATCTCAGCGGAAGTTGTCTCAACAGGGCCAGGAGGCGTGAGAGGTTTATTAACATCCATGACAGAGTCCTCAGCACTGACTCTGGTACGTTTGTTAGTAAAGGTGGTCAAAGGTGGAGTGTTCGAAGGGTCAGATATAGCGGGACCTTGACCAGAAATGTTGCCTGTTGGAGAGCTAGAGGCAGGACGTTTAGAAGTAGTATCTTTGTTAGACTTGTTATTTTGTTTCTTGTTATCTTTAGCCATGTCGTAGAGTGTCGTAGTTATCTAAAATAAAGAAAATATAAAGAAAAAGTAATAAAAAACTTCGAAAAAAAATTTTTTATTTTTCCGTAAATATTGTCAAGTGAGCAGAACAGTTTTATCCTTTTCCGATCACTGTCTGACGAGTTATTCAACAAAATGTTAAACATCGGCATTATAATATTTCTTGATTTACGTTTACTGCGCCATTTAACATTTTGCTAGATTTCTCGGTACCTAGTGATTGTAAAAAGACGATTTATAGCTCGTTGGAATCGCCTCATCGAGACGAATCGAATGGTGGTAAGCTCATCTCTCTGTGATCAATATTGACGGAGTTATTACTTAAAAACCATTTAATATTTTTTAATTTCGGAAATTGATCTAGTGATTGGATTTCGATATATCTTATACCATTAGATTCGTCTCATCAAGACGAATCGAATGGTAGTAAGATCGTCTTTCTAGGATCAATATTGGCAGAGTTATTACACAAAAACCATTAATATTTTTTTAATTTCGGAAATTAATCTAGTGATTGGATTTCGACGTATTTTATACCATTAGAACCGTCTCATCAAGACGAATCGAATGGCGGTAAGATCATCTCTCTACGATTAATATTGGCGAAGTTACGATACAATAAAGTTTTAAGTATAATTCTGGCTAAAATCATGTTAATTTTTGGCCAGAATTATGTTATACAAATATAAGAAATTTTTTATATAGTCACATCTCTTTATAATCACCAAATATGGACTGTCCCAAATGTGTGACTATAAAGAGAGTTGACTGTATATCCAAAATCACTCATCTCTTGCATTAGTGTTACAATCCGTGGATAATCCGTCATCCGTCATCCGCCACTTTCAGATATCCGTGATCCGTCTTATCCGTATGTACGGATATCTGACATGACGGATATCCATGAAGGATAATCTCGGATATCCGTTGAATTTTAAATCGGGCCGAATTCATAGTGCTAGCCCGAATTATGTTGTGTAACATTTGTATAACACAAAGTTGAAAAAAAAAATTTTTTATCATTCTGGCCAGCATTACAGATTTGACCAGAATTATGTAGTAAAAATTGGATTATCTGGATGATCCGTTTAATTCGGATGGGATCGGATGGGATCCATCAATCTGTCACGGATATCCGTGATCCGTCCTATCTGTATGTACAGATATCTGAAATGACGGATATCCAAAAACGACAGATATCCGATGACGGATACGGATGGGGGATTGACGGATTGGAACACTATCTTGCGTTAATATAATTTTTTAGAATAGAAATGACAAAAGCGTAGTAGTAAATGGGCGAAAAGTAGCATTAGATAGTATAGAAACTCTCATCTTATGAAGATGTTTCCTCTTTAAACATCTGCTACTCAAATTTTACTCTATTAGTTAGTGCTACTTTGCAGAAATTTTAAATTTTTGTGAGGTATTATTACATCATTACTAAGATATATGCAAGATATATTTAGGGTAATGTAACGATCCTTTTTTATTAATGAATTATTCCTATGTTAATCCAGTATTACAATGAGATTTGCACAGTATTTTGACCACATCAGAATAATTCTTTTTATAATATTATTAATTCATTGAAAATATATATAGAAAAGCATATTATAGGTATTTTTACGGTATTTTAAAAATATTATAAATTACTTTACTAACAACATAAAATTTTCATAAAACTACAAATAACTCAAATATAACAATTAACAATTTAAATTAAAATCTAATTAAAAATCTTTTATAATATAACCATTTGTAATTAATAATATTATTTCAATATGTAAAAATATATATGCATGATTATCTAATATTCCTTTTATTATAATTGGATAGCCACGAATTTTTAAGCGATCAATGTACTGAATTTCTGTTGACAAAGCGTTCCTGGTGACATAACTATTAACTATAACAAAGTGGGAACCAATAACTCCTATGACCCTACTCCTCTAACCCTAACCCTAATCCTATATTATTATTATTTTTTCTTCGTCAGTTACTTATCCCTATAAACATTCATTTCTCCTTTACAGTCTTTCGTCTTTTTTTCAATTTAAAAGAAAGCAAAAGCTCTCCAAAATCTTACATACTAGAGAAACTAAAAGAAGCCATATAAGAAAAAAAGAATGAAGTGTAAGTAATTGTTCATTAATATAAATAAATAAAGAAAAAAAATACTTATCAAAATATGAAAACCAGTATGTACAAGGAGATCCGAATAGTTAGCTGCTTAGAAAAGAAATAATCCAACTAAATTCATAATCTAAAGAGCAAAATGAAACATTAGTAAATATTTTGTAAACACTTAGTATTAAATTCCTATGCAACAAAATACCTGAAATCTATCTGAAAAAGAGAGAAATAAGAAATATTAATAAAATAAGACAATAAATATTGCAAAATTCTACACATCTAAACTCAAAGACCTAAAAAACTAATCATTTAAAAAAGAAAGAACCAAATAGTTAGTAAAAATACTTTTGAAGTTTAAAAAAAATTGTAGATACATATAAAACTTCTGGACCTGAATCTTGCAAAAAGAAAATAGAGGAATGTCAATAAAAGGTTAAAAAAATCAACAAAATTTCTTGACGAATATTGTCTGTTAAAAAAGTTTGACAGTTTAATTAAACTTAAAAAAATTTGGCAAATTGAGTTTAATTGAGACTTTAAAAAAAAAGTTTTGATAATTACTTTTAAAGAAATGATTAAAAAAAAATGATTAATTAATTAAAATTTAAAAAAAAAACTTTAAAAAAAAAATTAAAAAAAGTTTTGATAGTTTCGGACAGTTTAATCAAAACTTTTAAAAAAAGAATTAAGAAAAAAAAGTTTTGATAGCTTGATCGAAACTTTTAAAAGAAGATTAAAAAAAAAATAATAAGTTTTGACAGTTTAATCAATACTTTTAAAAAGACGATTTTACCAATCACAATAACAATTGACGCATGTGATATAAATCACATTTATTTATTATCATGATAAGTGGATTCTTTCATATAAGTCTAACACTTTAACAGTCTATACTAACGCTGTATAATCTGATGTTAAGATAATTGATTTACATATATCACGTACATTACTTAATAATAGCCGTTGTTTAGATCTACTAAACTTGTTAAGCTTATTCCTTTTGATTTAACTATCGAAATTTCATTTTTTTTTATTTTTTTTGAAAAGTTTCTAACTTTCAAAACTTTTAATTTTTTTAAAAAGTTTAATCAATCAAACTATGAAAGTTTGAACTCTTAATTTTTTTTTGATTTCAAAATTCCTATTATTTTTTTTTAACTTTTTGAGATTTTGAAACTTTTTTTTTTAATTTTTCAAATAGTTTTGATTGAACTATCAAAACTTCCTTTTATTTTTTTATTTTTTTATTTTTTGAAAGAATATTGGCTTTATTGTTTCCTCTTTATATTTTTTTACCATTTTTCAGATCTTTCTGGACGCGAGATTTTGGTAAGTGTAAAATTTTTATTTTTTATTCTTCTTTTAACGAACTTTATTAATATTCTGCATTTTTTTAGGACAGCTCTTTGGATTTCTTAGATTTTGGTAAGATGTAAGTGCAGTTTGGAATGAAGGACTAGTATTTATGTTTTGTCAAAGATAACACAAAGTGTCCACTATTCCACCAGAACCTTGAACATTATATACATAACTCAGATCTAAGGTCAAAAATTTTAATATAACTTTATACACTTAATTTTATTAAAAGCTTTATACAAAATCATCATATAAGTTCAAATTTTACTTTAAATTATACAATTTCAAATCTGAGTTTATATAAAACAAAAATTATTTTATTTATTAATTTTATGTAATTATTTCAATAATAATTTATCAATTCAAAAATTCATAATTTAAAAAAAAATTTAAAAAAACTTACTTGTTATAATTCAAAAATTAGTACTGTTGTGAAAAATACAAATGTTTTCACAAGTATTATACTAATGATTACAAAAATTTAAATCTAGGTAGTTTCGAACCTGCTGAACAACTTTCAATTAATAAAGATAGTCGATTTCATTTGATAAAGGTGCCAAAAATATGCTCTGAAGTCACTGATCACGTGATTAAAAAAATCGAGAGTGTGAAAATTGCTCGTATTCCATAAGCATTATTCCGATTACTATAAAAATTTAGGTGTAGGTAGTTCTGACCTCCGTGAACAATTTCTCTTAATAAAGGAAGTCAATTTCATTTGACTAAAATGCTGTAATTACGCTCCAAAATTAATAAACAAAAAAGCAAATTTAAAATTAATATAATTATAAAATATGCGCGTACTCCATAAGTATTACTCCAATTGCTATGAAAATTTAGATTCGAGTAGTTTTGGCATTGTTAAAAAACTTTCTCTTAATAAAGAAAGTCAATTTCATTTGGCTAAAATGGTAAAATCACACTCCAAATTTTGATGAAAATAAAAAGAAAAAATTTAGGAATAAATGTATTATGAATTATATAAAATACCCATATCTTCACAAAATACAGGTAATAAAAACTGTGACAAAAATATTTAATATGTGCAAATTTGTAAATTTACAAAGTTTTTAAAATTTTTTTAAAGAAAAATTTTTTATATACGTATATATAATTTATTTACACAAGTATTATTATACAAAATAAAGATCTCACTTGATTTAAAGATTATTACTGTTATACAAATACATATCTGACTTACCGAAAAATTACTAACAGGCTATACAAAATCAAACATATGACTTATTGAAAAATTATATACAGTAATAAGTTTATACAAAACTGGATCAGTGTTATATGTATTGTTCGTAGGGATGGTTAGGTCGGTCCTAGTCCAGTTCTGGACCTGATCCCTGGGCCTGGTCCTGATTAAGTTATTTATAGATTTTATGAATTTAGTAATAACTAAATATAAAAAAGTGAGTTGTGATATTATGATTCACTTTTTTATATTGATTTTATATAAAAAAAGTGAATTGCGGTATCGTGATTCACTTTTTATATTGATTTTATATAAAAAAAGTGAGTTGCGGTATCGTGACTCACTTTTTTATATTGATTTTATATAAAAAAAGTGAGTTGCGGTATCGCGATTCACCTTTTTATATAATTTAATATAAAAATGTAAATCGCAATATCGCAACTCATTTTTTATATGATTTTAATAATATAAAAATTGTATTGCAATATTGCAATGCACTTTTTTTATAATTTATAATTACTTAAAATCAAATTTACAGCAAACATATGGATCTCTTATAACCTTATTGGCTAGGACTTTTTAGGACCTGGTCCGCTTCTGGTCCAAAATTTGGACCCAAAGATCTGCAGACCACCAAGTCTTTAGGTCCAGAACCTAGGACTTTACCATCCCTAATTGTTCGGGGTCCGCTTGAAAGATAAGTTGGTTTGTAATTGATTCATTTCATTACACATTTTACTCAATAAATCCCAGATCCATGCAAAAAAATTTATAAAATCTATTTTGAATTTTTTATTTTCTTTGAACGTACTTCATAAACTTTAAAATCGCAAGTATAATAAAAAAGGTGATTTTCTTATTTTATTATTATTTATTTAATTGAGAATATTTATATTAACATTCTTTTTTCTTTTTTAAGAACACCTTGGACTTCAGTTTGAAGTTACAAATAGAAGAGTACATTTCTTTTTATTTTTTTCTAGGTTTTTTTATAGGGTTTCCTTCATTTCAGTTTTCGAACGCTTTCACTTTAGACTGCTAAGGGATGCGTGGAATTTTGGTGAGGAATGGGTTAAAAAATTAATAATTAATGAAACTGTTCTTTAGGTTAACGCATTCTTCCTTTAATTTATTTTAACGAAGATTTACTGACATTTCATTTTCTTTCTTTTTTTAGATGGGCCTTTTGGATTTCTTTAAACTGTAAATTTTCGGTAAATTTTTTTTTTCTTTTTTTTTTATTTGACAAACAGTTTCTAACGGGCTTTCTTTCTTTTTTTCTTGTAGATTGTTAAGTTTTTGGGTATTTGAGTTTTTTTAACTTATTTTGATGAACCAACAAATGGTCACTAATGTTTTATTTTCTTTTTCTTTTTTTAGGCATCCATTCTTACAGTCTTTGGACACGTAGATTTCGGTAAGAAATCAATCTTTTTTTTTTTAAATTCAATTCTCATAACAAAATATTTTCTGACGTTTCATTTCTTCCTTTTTTTTTAGTGATTTGTTCTTTGAGCTTGTACATGTTGGACTTAGGTAGGCTATTTTTTTCTTTGTTATTTGTTTAATCAAAATGAATAAAATTTTCACTATCTTGTTATTTCATTTTATTTCTTTTTTTAGACGGCTTCTTCTGATCTTGGCCTCATGATGGTTACTGAAGCTTTGGAACCATATACGAAATCAGGGCTGAACGCACAAAATTAATAGAACATTATTACTTCCAAAACCTTTACAACTCAGAATCTGGAGATTATTTGGATCAGGATATTTGGATATTAATGTTACTAATGTTAGTAAGAGAGGGAAGTTTTGAATTATTTGACAAAAAGTTTATTAACTTTTATTTTTTTTTTTCTCTTTTTATAGGTTTCAAACTTATAGAGAAAAATAAAAACGGTAAGTTAAAACTTTGTTATTTGTTATTTTTGTTAATTATTAACGTCTATTAATATTTTTCTATTTATTAATTTTTTTTAGGCATTACTAGTACTTCCAACTTAAAACTACTTGAGTAACTTTAGATAGTAAGGTTTAAACGGGATGCAAAAATTTATTACTAAGATTCTCGCTATATTGATTATGAACTCCCATAATAAAATTTAAAAGCAATGTGAAAACCTGAGAAAAGAGACAGCCAAGGTAAATTAAAATAGAAATTCAAACGATGACAGTTAAACTTTCCAAATACCAAATGGGAATGAACGTTATATTCACTTGTTCTTTTGCTTTTTTTCTCTATCGCTTCTTTACTGACTTTCATTTTCTCTTTTTTAGAACTTCAGCTCTTATCTGGGGATTATTGTACGTGAACTCTTCCCAGGTTATACATCTTTGAAAGTAGAGCTTTAATCGTTAAGGTACCTGAAGTCACCTCTTGCGAAGCATCTAGTATTTTTAATTAAAAGATTTTTAATTTTTAATTTTAATTAATAGGTTCATATTTCGGAAATAAAATCAAAGAAATAATTTCAGTACAAAGGGACAATTACGAATATTCTAGGAACCGCCTGATATATTTAATTATACTAATATATATATAATGCGAAAAAAACAAAAAGCAGGAATAGACGAAGAAATAGAGAACAAGGAAATAGGGGAGGAGATAGTGCAATGAGGACATCCCGAATTAATTAGCAATTTGATATAATAAAATCTAAATGTGCATTGAAAATATATCAGATATATATTAAATAATGCGTTGTAACATGCAATGATGTCGTTAATATATCGTTACGTAATTGTTCTAATATTTATACGATACTGATAAATACATTATAATAAATCTTTTCGACTTTAATTTGATGTCTTGAAGATTCGTATAATAATATAGTGATAACATTGTAACGATAACTGATGATGTGCAGTTATTTTACCGTTACTTAATGGTAACTGTCTCGTGGCGCATCAATATAGGAATATGAACCATTATAATATTGGTGTTTTAACGATGCCTTATCAATATCATATTGACATCGGAAAAAATTTTATAGTTTCTGCAAAGTAACTTTTTTACATTCATTTACAAGAAAAATAAATTTCGCTCTGAATTTTTATAGAATACACCCTAATTCCTGCAATTACACTTTTTCTTTTTCTCTACAAATCTGATATTCCCTAATTATAATGTTCTATATAAAAAAAAAGTATAGCTCACAAATTGAAAATTGTATACATTGTTTATCGTCTCGAGAAACTGTACGTATTATTATTATTAACCTTAAAACTTCCAACATATTCATACAAATAGTTACCATCACTATAATCTGGATCCGGACTATTTCCGGGACTGTCGGGATCCGCCGACAAACTCTTGGTGTCGTCGTGATTTAGTTTTTGCTTTATAATTCGGTCAAGACATTTTAGTATGTATTTCAGGGATCCGGCCTTGAAATCTTTATTCTTTACATGCGGAAGTATCCATCTCCCATATAATTTCATGTGATATCCGGAGAAGGAGATACGATATCCATGTTTTCGTGCTAAATCAATGTAAAGTCCGCACAAATAACAACAATATTTGGACACTGCTATAAACACCTTACTTTTAATTTCATTGTCGATTAAAAAGGCCAATATGTTCATTTCCGCATGTAAGTATATATATTGTTTAACGTTATCACCGTCAAGTGGTTGTTGTTTTTGTGTGGCTTTATCGGTATATACTTGACTGATTCTTTCCATCACTTCAGGCTTTTTCGAACACCCATCCATGAAACGGTTATATTTGTCTTCATCAATAAACCTTCTGATAATATTTTTCCACGAATATATGGGCTGATTTTTTATGATAACAGGTTTCGCTCTATACACTTCAACGTTAGAGAATAGTGATTTATATTGTACATTACGTGCACATTCTACGATACCTATAACAGACACCGCATAAGACCCCACTTTCTTAATATGTTCTTTAAATTTTGTGGGGATGTTATTATTATATCTAACTTTCTTATAATACTCTCTACAAACTCCGGATATCGTGATAATGTTTGTATCATTTTTAGCTGAAAGAAGATCTTCGAAAGATTTAACATGTTCATTACGGTAATGGAGTTTAATAGTATCATTAAGTTTAGTCAATCTATACTTAAGTTTAGTAGAGCAGTAACACGTCACAGCCTCGAGAAAAGCTCTTTCGGTATCTTCTGATATCGCGGGAGCAATTTCCGATATATTTTTCAGATATTTCGTAATATTATCAATATACTCAATATCTTCGTCGAGCCAATCAGAGTTCTTAGAAAGGTAAATTTCACAGTGATCTTGTAAAATTCTCAACCACTGCAACTACCTCTTTATCCCTTGCAAGTATTGTTGCTAAATAGAGGGAAAATTTCTCTTCACAATCCAAGCAGAATTCGCCTTTTGCTTTATCGACAACAAAGTTGATACTCTGGGCAACGCTTCCTTTACTATACAACTCCTTCTCACGCTCTTTCTCTCTCACACGTTCTCTCTCACGCTCTAAAGCTTTTTGAGCTGCTTGACTGTATGATAGGTTTGCCATACTTATACAAGCTATTTATGGAAGAACAAACAAGCGACGGTCTTAATCAACAAGCGACGGTCTTGAAATAGATGATCAAAATCCAGCATGAGCGAAATTCTATCTGACCCTATTGTTACACAATTATTTATATTAAATTTACAGTACTATCGACGATACTTTACAGTTTACACAACCGTTATCTAGCTTGTTAACTTTCGTTTTCTATGCCCTGATCCAGTCTGATCCAGTGTTTGAAGGTTTTGCATATAATTAATAGGCTGGAAGTTAATAACCCTTATATTTATGAAGAATGAAAAAGAACTGATAAACTTATAAATAATATGTAGTATTTTTATTGTTTTTTCTTTACCATTGTTCTACATCAAGCAAAGCAATTGTTAATTTAAATGATATTGTAGTTAAATCAAAATCATCTGTTTCTTCTATTCCTCCATCTTGCTCTTCATTTACACTTTCATTATTTTCTTGTTCCATTTTGTAATTTATCTTAAAATGATTTTACATTATCAAATACATATCACTTATAGTATTGTTCATGATGATTATATCTATGTCTTAAATTATTATAACACATTGATAAATATATTGCTATCATTATTTAATTTAGCATCTGGTTTTGAAGGATGTCCTGTATGATACTACTTGCTAATCTAATATAACAAGGTTATAGGATTTTTTTCTTTTTCCTTACATATCAAGTGCATGACTATGATTGAAATTTTGGTAAGTTTATGAAGGTATTGTAATAAGAATAAACTTCAGTTGCTTTATTTATTAGGAAATTAAGCTTTGATGGAGTATAAAAATAATGCTGATGTATTTAATATATTTCTTTAAATTCATCTAAAACATTTTTTTATTTAGTATTTTTGAATTGAAAAAATTTAAAACAATTACCAATTATATATGCTTATTTAATAATATCATCATCATTTACTTATTCAAATTTTGCTATGTATATTTTTTATTGAATAATCATTAAAATTAGGTAAAAACATTTTTTATTGTTTTAAAAAAGGATGGCTAATATTCTTAATTATATTTAAATAAAAATATTGTAAATCTTGATGCTTAAACGAATTTTTTTCAAAAAAGCTACAATCTAAAATAATTGAAACCCATATTCTAATATATCAATACTTTTAATATTTAAAAATCCTTAAAATATTTCATTACCAAATAATACAGGTTTTACAGATGTTATTAGAATTATTTGTAATAATTTTCAGACAAAATAATTGATTTAATATGCAAATATAGAAATTCAGATAAAAAATTAAAAAAAAGCTGCATGAAATATAGTATTTTAAATACAAATAAAGAGATTAATAAAAAGGTTAAAAATAAAATTAGCTAAAATACCTTAGCAGGTATATAAGATGTAATTTTTACAATTCACATTACCATTTACATTTTGTAATATTGTATTTTTTTATTCTATTATTAAGCTATTACAGTCTAACGAAATAAGTAGTTTAGCAAATCAGGTTTTTATTATAAGAAAATTTGTTAATACTATGATATAAAAATCTGGTATAATTCAGAAAAATTTTGTAAATTATATTATAGATAATACATATTACATAAAATATTTTTATTATATTAAATAAAAATTTATTGTAAATAAAAATTTATTATAATAAAAGTTACTATTTTATATATGTACTTTTAATACTAAAAATTGCTAATTTTTTGAAATATTTTTATATACCTAGTTACAATAGCTTTTAAAACAATTGTGCAATTATTTTGTAAAATTTTTAAAATATATCAAGATATTTTATAGGTATTTTTAAAATTAAAATATTAAAATAATATAAATCATTGTGATATTATTTTAGTTATTTTTATAGATCTAAATATAATACAATTACAAAGTAATAACAAAAATAAAATAAAAACATTTTAATATATTAAAATTATTATAAATCATTTTAAAAAATTAGCCATTTTTAATAAAGTATTCAGTTATATACACTAGTTATAAATTTACTTTGTTAAATAGTATACAGCATTTTACTAATAACTTTGCTGAAACCCCTACCTTTTTAAATATATTTTTACAATATAACTTTTTAATAGTATTATATAATAATATTAATAAAACTATAAAAATAAGATATTTTTAAAAAAGTGGTGTCTAAATAAGATAGAAAAACAATAGAAAAGTAATATAATAAAAAAAAATTTAAAATTGCAATATAAATACAATAGATTTATAATTTACAATATATTTTTATGATATTTTGCTAAAAATAGCTATTTTTTTAATATGTTTTTAACATGGTTTTTATATGGTTTTAATGCATTGTATCAACCATTAATGGCCAATTTTTTGAAATGATTTTGTAATAATTTTAAAATACTATAAAAATACATTTAATACATCAAAATGTTTTTATTATACTTTTGTTATTATTTTGTAATTATATTGTATCTAGGTCTATAAAAATGACTTAAAATAATATCACAATAATTTTTTAATATTTTTGTTATTATTTTATTATTATAATAATATAATTAACTTTGATATTATTTTAATATTTTAATTTCAAAAATATCTCAAATATATCTTGATATATTTTAAAAATTTTACAAAATAATTGCACAATTGTTTTGAAAGCTATTGTATCTAGGTCTATAAAAATATTTTAAAAAATTGGCCATTTTTAGTAAAGTACAACTCTTTTTTTGTTCTTTGTCATACAACTGGCTATTTAAATGACTCAAAAATAGAACTAATTAAACCTTTATACGAAACAACATATTATCAAGGTAAAAAAAAAAGTTTTTAATAAAGGAATACCAAAATTCTCTTTTATGAAGTTTTTTTGGTTAAAATATAGATATACCAGCTGAACCTGCTTATTTGTTAGATAGAGACAACTTTGAAGTTAATCAAGATTCATATAATATATGTTCCTACCTAATAAAATAAAAGAAACAAAAGTTAACTCAATATTTAATACATAGAACAAATAGAACTTAATAAAGAAGGTGAAAGTAATATAAATATTCTTATAGGCCTATTTTCAGAATAGAGCTGAAAGTCTTGACTCAATATAATATTCTCTGCTAAGTCAACCTTTGTAATTGTTTGTTAGTACACAATTTAGTTCTTAGGAAATTGCTGAACACTATATAAGAGAGTATGAAAGGCAGAAGAGGTTTGTAGTTAAATGATATAGAGTTGAATACTATAAGCTTCAATTGGTAAGTTTTATTAGAAGATTGTATTAGGAGATATAGTCATATGAGATTAGGATTAGATAAGGTATAGATTTAAGATATGGGATTAGAGTTAGGATTAGGGTGTAGGATTAAGGTTAGGATTAGGATGCGGGATTAGGATAAAGAATTAGTGTTAGTTTAGATATTGGATTAGGAATATATAGACAATTATTTTGATTTTAACTAATCTTACATTCAATTTAGTTTAGGATCAGGCCAATCAACAAGATTTAAATGTAAAATATAGTTATAAAAATATTAATTATAATGAAATGATATATACATTGTAAGCAAAATGTGAAGCTGGTACTCAATTAACAAATACTGATTTAAATAATGTTGTAAAATTATCAGATAGATATGTATATGATATTGATAATATTAAAGATTCATTAGCACATCATGGTAAAGGGTGGTCTAACAAATGACTAAAAGTTTTTAATAAAGAAAATGAAGTGAGTGTTAAAAGGATAAAGCATACTAATATTAGTTGCGAAAAAGGAGATATTGATGTAAACGGTAATACTGGAGGACGTAAATGTGATATATGTCATAAAACAGGACACTAGGCTTCTAAATGTCCTAGTAAGGAAAATGTAAAGTATATTGCTTTATTAAATAATATATAGATAATGTATAGTGATAATGTATGGATAATATATAAATAATATATATATAATGTTTAAATAATCTTATAAAAATTCAATAACAAAATATTATCATAAAATCATATGATTATATTAAGGTGATGTATAATATTTATCACCTTAGACGATGAATACTGAAAATACCTGTTTATGTGATTTTACATAAACTTTTAAGATAAAAATTACTGAAACTATATTTTAAGATATAAAAAGAATATAAAGTTCCTTTTTTTTCAGTAATAAATTATAAATTTTTTAAAAATTGTTCTTAATAAGATTTATTTTTCCATTTTATATATATAAATGCATTTGCTATTAATGATTAAAGTTCTTTTTTTATTATTATTTAAAATTAAATAAAATGGTATTTAATATAAATTTTCAGATAAAGTAAATATTTTATTAAAAAATTTTATATTTTCACATTTTATATGATTTTATTATTATTTACATTATATGTATATAAATGTATTGTTCAATATTTAAAAACAGTATTCAAAAAATATAATATAAAAGAAAATTCAAATTGTTGATTAAAATGATTTGCATTTAAAAATGGTGTGGATAAATTATTTTCTTCACATTATGGTTGCACTTATAATATGATAATGTAATAAGCTAACTATAAAGTGTCATATTGATCAAAAGTTCAGAATTAAATTCTAGATCAAATTTTGGATTTATCTGAGATGAAATTGATTAATCCATATTTCATTCCAGATTTTCCTATATTTTATTTTATATCTGATTTATATTTTATCTTAAATTTGATTCACATTTTATTTCAGATTAATTTTTTAAGTTTCACCAAAAATTACATTACATCCAATTATCAAATCTTGATTAATCCATATTTTATTACAGATTTAATCAATATATATTTCATTTTGGATTTGGTTTATATTTTATCCTGGATTTAATTTTAACGATTAATCTAGGTTTAATAATTGGATGTAATGTAATTATTAGTGAAATTTAAGTAATTAATTTGGGATAAAATATGGATCAGATTCAGGATAAATATTGGATGAAATATAGGAAAATCCAGGATGAAATATGGATTAATCTATTTTTACCCCAGATAAATCCAGGGTGTTTAATTCCAGACTAACAAATAATTGCATGTAATTTATTCTTGAACATTCCTGCATATACCCAAAGTTTACATGCAACGGAATAACATCAAATTTTTCTATTGTAAATTAAAGAGTACTCATTGATCGGATTTACATGATGCAGTCATATTAACATTAAAGATCAATCCTTAGACCATTTGCAAATTTGATTAATGAACTTTTTTATTCATCTGAACAGAAATAAGACGGAAAGTTTACCTTTGCAATCCCCAAGATTAAAATCTTCAAATGAGATAGATCAATTGTGTTTGTGAACAGTTGTCTTTGTTTACAAGTAAGTTATCACAAAGATCCGAATCTCCTGAAGATACTTTTTATAGTTTTTTGTTCCTAGTCAAAATATTTTGTCCACAGATATATCTGAAATCACTTTATCTCTTGCGTTAATATAATTTTTATATCCTATATGAAATAGAAACAAATGTAGGCGAAATGCAGCATTAGATAGTATAAAAACTTTCATCTTATGTGCTAGAGCTTGAGATGTTTCCCTTTAAGCTAACTTTTTTACATTCATTTACAAGAAAAGTACAATTTCGCTTTGAACTTTTATGCTTTATTGATAGAATATACCCTCATTCTTCCTGTAATTAAACTTTTATCTCTACAAATCTGATATTTCCTAATTATAATGTTTTATATAAAAAAAGTATAGCTAACAAATTGAAAATTGCATACATTGTTTATTTTCTAAATTTCACGCAGCCTTGTTAAGAAAATAAATTAAAGTTATTATCAGGGTTACTGCTAAAACCTTTAATATATCCATATATATATTGACCATCACTAGAATCCGCCGGTAAATTACTGGTATAGTGTTCTAATTTTTGTTCTATGATTTGATTAAGATTTTTTAGTATATAATTCAGGGATTCGGCCATAAATTTGTTATCCCTTACATGCGGAAATTTCCATCCGCTACATATTTTCGTGTTTTTCCAATCAAAATCATATTTAGTAAAAAATTGTGGTTCAGAAACGATGATATTATATCCATGATATAGTTGTGCAAAATTAATGTAAAGTTCGCACAAGAAACAACATCTCTTTGACACTGCTATAAACACTCTACGTTTAATTTTCTTGTCGATAATTAAGGAGGCCAATATGTTCATTTCCGCATGTAAGTATATACATTGTTTAACGTTATCACCGTCAAGTGGTTGTTGTTTTTGTGTGGCTTTATCGGTATATACTTTACTGATTCTTTCCATTATTTTAGGCTTTTTCGAACACCTATTCATGAAACGTTTATATCTGTCTTCATCAATAAACCTTCTGATAATATTTTCCCACGAATATATGGGCTGATTTTTTATGATAACAGGGTTCACTCTATACACTTGAACGTTAGAGAATAATGATTTATATTGTATATTACGTGCACATTCTACGATACCTATAGCAGACGCCATATAAGACGACACTTTCTTAATATGTCTTAAAAATTCTGAGGGGATTCTAGACTCAATTTTAGCCTTTTTAATTTTCTCACAATACTCTTTACAAATTCCAGATATTGTGATAATATTTGTATTTTCTGCATTGCCAATAATAGCAACCCTAACTGAAAGAAAATCACTGAAAGATTTAACATGTTCATTATCGCCATAGAATTCAGTATCATCATGAAGTTTTTTCAATCTAGACTTAAGTTTAGTAGAGCAGTAAATCGTTACAGCCTCAAGAAAATCCCTTTCGTTATCTTTTGATATCACAGGAGCATTTTTTGATATATTTTTCAGATATTTCGTAATATTATCAATATACTCAATATCTTCGTCGAGCCAATCAGAGTTCTTAGAAAGGTAAATTTCACAGCGACCTTGTAAAATTCTCAACCACACTGCAACTACCTCTTTATCCCTTGCAAGTATTGTTGCTAAATAGCAGGAAAATATCTCACGATCAAACAAGGCAGGTAATTCTTTATTTGCTTCACCGACTACAAAGTTGATACTCTGAGCAACACATTCTCTGCTATACAACTCCTTCTCAAACTCTTTCACTTTCTCACGCTCTTTTAGCTCTTTCTCACGCTCTTTTAACTTTTTTAATTCCCTTCGAGACATTCGAGCTACTTGACTGTATGATAGGCTTGCCATACTTTAATTAAAAACGGTATTCTACAGAACAAGCGACGGTCTTAAATAAATTCTATTTGACCCCTATTGGAGTAGTAATGAGTAATCCCACACCCGTGGTGTAACCGGACTTTACTATTTTTAGTAACAGAAACCCGTCCCACCCGACAAATAATGTGTGACAAATAGAATAAAAAATTTCAAGAGTATTTTAAGTCGCTGAGATAAATATAAACAACGCGTTCCTCACGGTCACGTGACATGTGCCAATAAACATCACCCGGTTACACCACGGGTACAACGTATATCAAAAATACGTAATTATGACATAATTTTTTACACCGTTCTCTAGCCACCTCATTCACCCGCCGATCATGACCTATAAAAGGCTGAAAGGTCGTACCAAAACCCCACTAAAAATTTGGGATCTTCCCCAGTATCACCGTCACTTTTCTACCCCCACGTGATTTTGTGCCACATCAGCCTCATTGATTTATTTATTTATTTACGTTTAACAGTGATTTTGTAACTTTCGTAACTCTTTCTTCTTTTTTCTCTTACTTTCTTTAATGTCAGACAAAAAGTTTATAAAAAGCTGTAAATATCGAGTTTAAATAATTATTTAAGTATAAAATTTATTGTTGGTTTATTTTTAACTACTATATTACCGTAAAGTCCCGAATATAAGCAACCCCCGAATATAAGCAACCCCTAATTTATATCTTACCCGAATATAAGCAACCTTCTGAAAAATTTGTAAAAAATATATACATATATTGATTATATGGTAATTTTATTGAAATTAAAGCATAAATGTCATAGAATTATCAAAATTATGTATAAAATGTTTGTAAAAAATTAAATGCGAAACTATTAATAATCCCTTTTACACCCAATATTTTTACAAAGTATCATCAATATCCGAAATTTCTAATTCTTCATGATCACTATCTAACGAATCTGTTATACCACAACTTATAAAAGAATTAATTATGGTCTCGTTAGATATATTTTCCCATGCACGTTTTACCCAATTACAAACATCACTATACTTAGCACGTCTAAGGTTTCCTGCAGTAGTTTCTCCAGCACCACCATTTGCCATCCACAAGTGCCATTCTTTATGTAATCTGTCCTTGAATGGCTTATTTATAGCGACATCAAGTGGTTGACAGATGCTTGTCAACCCACCTGGGATAACTGCTAAATCAACATTATTATCACGAAACTTTGTTTTAACAGATTTTTCAAGGTGGCCCCTAAAAGAATCATAAACAAGCATAGTTGGATCTCTAGATCGATTATTGTTAAAATAGTCAATATAATTGATTATTAATTTTGAATCCATCCAACCATTCTCTTGGAACCAAACCACCACACCAGATGGAATTTGTTCACCACGTCCTAATCTTTTTCCTTTGAAAATACATATTGGTGGCAGTTTGGTTCCATCTGTATTTTAAAAAAAAATTTTTAAGATTATTTTGCTAGAAATAGGGTTTACTATAGTACTTACCAGCAGCACAAGTAAGAACAACAGTGAACCGATTTTTTTCGTTACCTGTCCCACGAATATGAACAGTTTTTTCACCTGTTTGATTAACAGTAAAATTACCCGCCATGTCAAAATATACTGGGGTCTCATCCATATTGAAGATATTACACATTTCGTATGATTTTTCAATTCTAAGTCAAGTAACAAATCGGTAAAAACTTTCTAACAATTGTTCAGTTTGTTGTGGAAGTTTTTGTGAAATCTTTGTATGACGTCGCAAGGATAATTTTTGTCGCTTCATAAATTCATATAGCCAACGATTAGACATCTTAAAATCGTTTGTTAAATTCCCATAAAGAACTATAATATCCTGATCTCTCAAAATTTCTAGCATCTTGACTCGTATAAGTGAATAGTTTACAGCAAAACCTTGTTTCCTTTGTTCAATTATCCAGTCATAGAGCTTTTTCTCAACTTCAGGATAAAAAACCCTTCTCCCTGTGCCAACTTTCTTAATATTTCTGTTTATTTCATCCGTCCAGCTTATACTCGCCTTAACCTAGTGTCCAACCATACTTTTGTTAATTCCAAAGTGAGTTGCCGCGTTATTTTTTCCATACTCCTTTGCATAATTAACAACTTCTTCTTTTTGTTTAATAGAGTATGAAGTTCGTTTAACATTACTTTTGAAGGCTTTACGTTTGACAACTCGTTTATGTTTGTCAACTTGTGGCATTATTTATTGTGGCTTTTCTCTGTGTAAAAAAATATCGTTTTTGATAACTTGATAAAAGTTATCTAAGAGTTGATCAAAAAAGTTATACGCGTTTTAAGGATATGATTGATGCTGTGCACGAATGATTCACAAAGAATTGTGAAACCGCAATAATTGAAAATTACGTTATAAATCATTTTATTTGAAAGTTTAAGCTAAAGATTCTTTTTCCAGAATTATATTATGTCCCAATATTTAAATTTACCCGAATATAAGCAACCTTATAACAAAAATAGGTTGCTTATATTCAGGACTTTACGGTAACTGTTTTTTATTTTTTGTTTATCTTCTTTATACAAAGATTAGAGCGTAATTTTGGTACTTTGGTCATTCTTTGAAGGCTAAATAAAGTCTTAACAAGTAAAGCATTACTCAAATAATTATTTTCATTGAATTATTTTACATATTTGTGGAGTTATAATTATACTTTGTAACAATATTAAGTGCCTTATACATTTTTTAAATCTCTTTAGGCAGCGCGCATTTATATATTTATTTAGGTTATTTATCATACTTATTTTATTATATTTATTAGGAGAGTTAGAAGTAGAGTTTGGAACTGGATGCACCATCCAGTTTTTAAACTGGTTCCACCCGTTTTTTTATGATTCAGTTCAATCCGGATTCATGCTGCAAAAACCGGTTTGCGTTTAAAGCGAGTGCAACCAGGTGCTCAACCCGGTGTGATATCGAAACTTTATAGTGCCAGCCCAAATTACAAAATTATAAATCACATGATAGCGGGTAAATAGTTTAGCCACCGGGGTTTTTATCAGTTATAGAAAATTATGCTACACAAATTCTGGAATTGTGTTACACAAGTTTTGTAATTCTGGCCAAAATTATAAACTCGGCCAATTATATGCCGATCACATTTAATTCTGGCCAAAATTACAGTGTACTGTATACTTGACAAATTTATGTGGGTAGAATTTTGTAATTTGTTATGTGTCCCGTACATTTTGAAATCAGTGTAAGCCTGATGCAAAAATGGAAACTCTAATCCAGGATGTAGATCATAGTAGAATTCCATAAGTTAACTGAAAACAAGGAACGTGACTTCAGATGCGGCTAACTATTACTTTATTATTTATTTATTATAATTAAACAAATATAAAACCAAGTACAAAAATCGGTTTCAACCAGGTTTGTAAAAACCGATTTGAAAAGGGTCGAACTGGTTGCATCCGTTTTAAATCCAGTTTCCAAAAATACAACCAGTTCCAAACTCTAGTTAGGAGAAACGCGTTTTTAAATTTATTTAGGTGTTATTTATTATGTTTATTTTATTAGTAGATACGCGTTTTTATATTATTTAGATGTTATTTATTGTATTTGCTTTATTATATCTATCAGGAGATATAGGAGACGCACGTTTTTATATTTATTTAGGTGTTATTTATTATGTTTATTTTATTAGTAGATACGCGTTTTTATATTATTTAGATGTTATTTATTGTATTTGCTTTATTATATCTATCAGGAGATATAGGAGACGCACGTTTTTATATTTATTTAGGTGTTATTTATTATATTTATTTTATGGATTACGCGTTTTATTTTATTAATAAATAAGCAGAAATTTCCAAGTAAAAATCAAACGAACTTATCATTTTTTATCAATAAAGCATATTTTATTGTTTTTATTGTTTTATTAATTTTTAGTAAATAACTTTTTTATTAAATTTAATAACATAAATTTTAAGAGTAAAAAATCAATATTTTTTATACTTTAAGTATGAAAAATTTAATTTTTTTAATATTTTAAAAGTGCGAAAAGTGAAAATTTTTGCAATTAAAATTTTTCTAAGATAAATGTTACGCAAAAAAGCAAATGAGGCTGATGCGCCACAAAAAATCACATGGGGGTAGAAAAGTGACAGTAATATTGGGCCATCCTTAACCTGATCCACTGGTCCAGATGCTTATTCTGGACCAGTCAACTTTTGATTGGCTAATCAGCCCTTTTATTACATAACTCTGGCATAATTTATTTTATCTCTTACTTTTCCTATCTTTCACTCTTTCTCTATTCTTTTTTGTGGTATGTTAGTACTTAGTTTTTCATATTTCATTTCAGTTTGTATATTTTAATTTTAATTGTATTTATTGTAGTTTTATGATAATACTAAATGTTTTTTATTTTCTTTTTTAAGAGTTTTATGATATATTGATATTATTCTGGAAATCAAGTGTTTTTTTTTTAAGTTTTGGGGTTAAGCAAAGTTGTTCAAAAATTACACATTTATAACAAAACTTTTAAAGCTAATATAATACTATTACTTTGTACTTTTATTTTGATATTAACGTTAAAATAATTTTAATAATAAAATTACAGTAAAAAATAATGTAAAGACTAGGGCTCCGATCAGTTTCAGTAACTACCGAACTGTACCGATCAGTTTCAGTATCGGAACGGTTTCGGTATTCTGATTTACTGAACTGAACCTTTCGGTAAATTTACCGATCAGTTTCGGTAACTTCAGTTTCAATATCGGTTTTGCGATTTACCGAACTGATTTACCGAACTGAAACTTTCAGTAAGTTTCAATAAATTTTACTGATAGATTTTACTGATCAGTTCAGTAGATTTCACTGATCAGTTCGGTAAACTTTACCGTTCAGTTTCGGTAGATTTATCGATCAATTTCGGTAGATTTACCAAACTAATTTACCGAACTTCGCAAAACATTTTATTAGTTAAAAAAATGTTGCGCAACGTTTTTTCTTTTGATGATTTTATAAAAATGTTGCGAAACATTTTTATTTGGCAATTTGGTAAAAAAAAGTTTCACAACTAGGGCCCGGGCTGCAGTATTGCGGCAAAAATCATAAAAAATAAAAGCGTCAAACTTGACGTTTTTATAATTTTTTTTTATTTAATTAATTAAAAACGTCAAACTTCGCGCTTTTTGATTAAAAAAAAATTAAATGTTTTGGTTAAAAAACGCCGCACTTGACGTTTTTTAACTAATTTTATTAAAAAACCGTCAAAGTATGACATTTTTAATAAAAATTTTTTTTTATTTTTTAGTTTAAAAACGTCGCACTTGATAATTTATTAAAATAATTAAAGTAATATATAATAAAATTACTAAACTACCTAATTAAACTAATATTATTAATTTATAAACCACTCGTCATATTATTAAAATACCCTACGCATGCACTGTCGAATGATCTATTATGCTATACAGGTAAACATATGTGGAATATGTTTTCTTAGCCAAGGGCCCTGTAGTCAATGCAAGGGTGATCATGGGACCTACTATACTGCGACTATGTTTTCCATGATTGTGAAGAGCCTTTTGTTATAAGTGAAAGGATATTGTTCTTGCAACGTGTCATAGTTTTACGCAAAAGTTCATTTTTATCCAGTGTTTCATGTATCTGTTGTATGTCACGTTGTTGGGATATAGAACACGAATGGCTTCTAACAGTATTCCTCTTGTCTTTTTTAGTGATGCCCAATTTAGCTTCAAGTATATTCATTTCATAGCATCGCGGATTCCATATGTACTTCCTGAAAGCCTTGTGGAAATGTTTTATAATTCTAGTGACAACCTCATTGGTTACTTTTTTAGACAAGAAACTTCGAAGTTTTTTTATAATTGTATCTGAGATAAGCCCTCTAGTAAGTTCAATACGGTTACGTTCTTTAAGAATAGGGAAAGCTTCTTCCTTATATTCAAAGATAATACGTTCTAACTGTCCTTGTACTATTTTTGTTGAGGATGTGGATTTTTTAATAAATTTCATAATCTTGGATGTTACTTCTGACTCAACCTGCTGAAAACCATCTTCGTGACCTGGACATATAACAATATGTCTGATATCTTCATCATCATGTAAGCACATTGGACATTTGACTTGATTATACAGTTCGTTCCTTTTTCTAAGATTGTCTATGGTAGGTAATAAATTATTTGAACATTTTATAAAATGTATGAATTTATCATTGGTGGAGAATGATAAGCAATGTCCTTTGTTAAGGCTATTAACGTATTGCCAAAATAACCCCCAATGCCATCTTGAAGTTGTGAATGTTTCTTCAAAGTAAGAACTCCAGTATTTATTAAAAGACCATTGTACTTCTTCTAACGAATCAGCCACTAATCTAGTAAATGATCTAATATGTCTATTTATGCTAATATTATTCCAAACTGGGAGAAAGGTTAAAGGGAAGCTAAAGCTATGGAGAAGTCTAATGTCTATAATTCTATCATTATTGTAGCTTGCTGCATCCCTCCCTTGTTTCGCAATTTCATCTGCCATGTCGTTCCATCTATTGCCAGAATGTCCGCAGACTTTATGTAAGTTAAGCGTTAGTGATTTCGTTTTAATGAAATCATAAATGGTGAAAAGGATAATATAATTATTCATTTTTAAAAATTTCCTTCGATTGATCCTATACGAAGCATCAAGCATACGATTAATTCCTTCAATAGCTGCTTGACTATCTGTGTATATTGCCACTTTAGCATTGTTCGGTACTGCCAGCAAGGCAGTCATAATAGCTAAGAGCTCTGGTCGCGTAGAAGATGGGTGATAGTTAACGCCACAAGAAAATGATAAATCTTGATCTTTAATAATCCAGCCGGCGCCCATGACTACCTCTCCTCTGGAATTTCTACAATTAAGATCCAGCGACCCATCAGTGTAAATTTGAAATATATTATTATTTTCTCTCTGCAACGCGCTATTGATATCGCACAATTCATGAGCAAGTAATGGTGAGGTGATAAAACGTTAGATTATTTTATGATCTATCAACGGAATGTCTACTGTGATTAACTTTTGTTCATTATTGAAGGCCGCTGTTGAAGTGATTGTGCGTCTTTTGATCAGGTTGGTTGGTGTGATGATCCTAAAAGAGGCTTCTTCGATCTTCTTAGTAAGTACTTCTACTTTAATTACCGTAGCTTTGCTAAAGTGACCTCGTCTAATGCATGTTCCTGTCGATGTTTGTCCATTCATGGATGAAGTACTACATCCTGTGCATTTTATAAGTAAGTCTGAGCCTTCACGGATGATCCAATGTTGGTACAGGAAAGTCGTTACCGAATTCTTTTCCACGATTTTTCCTACTTCAGAGAGTCGGTTTGTATTAACTATGACCCATTCTTTCCTTCGTCTATCGAGAGATGGATGTTGCGGCGTGATAGGTTGATATCTAGGTGATGGAGTAAGGTCTGCAGTGATTCTTGATGTTTGGTCTTGATGTTGTATATTTCTGTTTAATGCGTTCAATAGCTGTTCGATAATATACTTAGTAAAATATGGTAGAGGTCCAGCGGCGGATATTCCTAATGTCATTTTAATTTGATTAGGACGTAGGATAGCTTGACCTTGGCCTCCTAAAAATTGTTTTATGGAATTCAATGAAATATAACGGTTGGATCTTTTAATAAAATTGTCCAATGCCTTTAGTCGTTTTCTTTTTGACAAATCATGGTCCAAACGTGTATTATTGTGATTGTAGTTAGGTTGTAATAAAAAGTCTAAAATTGTTGTATCAAGTATATCCAAATGCCAATCGTCCACGTTTATTGCGTCAAAATTGAATAGTTGATCTTTTATATCTTTTAATATATTGAAATTAAAGTTGTTCGGTATGTTGACTTGCAATAATTTAGACGGCTCTATTGTGAGTATGCATCCTGCTAGTCCTGCACGGAGTTGCGCATTTCTAAGTATAATGCGTGTGCTAATACCATCCCACTCTTGAGAATTGATTCGAACAATGAAATCTGCATATTGCGCGGTCCTAAGGTGTTGTAAAAGCGAGGTCATTCCAACTAGGCCTTGATGAGTAAAGATATTATTGTTCGCCGATTTGGTTATTCTCATTTTTTGTTTCAGTAGTAAGATCATGCAATTGTGTAAGGTTCTGCATTGGTTTTGGGTCAAAAATGTACATTTCAACCAGTATTCTAGTCTTGCCATAAGTACCACGTTATTAACATAGACCACTTGTGATTCTGTTATTTTCTTGTATTTCAATAAATTGACCATAGATTTGATTTCATTTTTAACACGTTTGACTATATGTGATGAACCTGCTTGGCTTTTAATGTATACGCCTAGATATTTTGATTCCTGAGAAGGTTTTTTTGCTACAACTAAATCGTTGTTTGTGCCCATTTTGATTGATTTGATTACGTCTTTGGGAGCATTCCACACCAGCAATTCTGACTTATCTCCATTGATTCGAATATTATTCAGTTTGAAAAATGAATTAGAGATACCAATAATTGTTTTCATTTCCTTTTTATTACTGGCAATCCAAGCTGTATCATCAGCTTATGCGACAACTGATGTTTTTAATTCGTGTTGTGTCTTGTTGATATCGGTCCCTTCAGAAGAGGGCCATTGAGTAATCAATCTGTAACCTACTTCTGGGATATCTTTTATTCTAGTTAGAAGTGGATCGTAAAAAATTCTCCAGATCAAGGGCGATATTGTCTCTCCTTGGTCTATACCGTCCCCAGCATAAAAGCCTTTGGATAAACCATATGCGGTTATAACTTGTAATTTTCGGTTTTTGAAAAGGTTAATTATAAAGTTGATTAGGTCTGTTGGGCATTTAATCCTTTCCAGGGCTTTGGTCAACGGTATCATTCCTATGGAATCAAACGCTTTTGCCATATCTTGGAGGCAAATCCAAAGCTCTTTTTTAGCAGTGGTAGCGTCATTAATAATATTGTTTATGACATGTATTGGAATGTTTGTGGAGCTACCAGGAAGTCCAGCAAAATTCGGACCTGTGAGAATATTGTGTTGTACTAAAATGAGACTTAATCGTTTGTTAATTATTTTGACATACAATTTTCTGAGACATTCCAGTAACAGGATTGGACTAGTATTATTTAGTCTAAATTGCCAGTCTTTAGGCTTTTGTATTGGGAAGATCTGTGAAGTCACCCATTCATCAGGGAAAGTGGCCGTACGGTATATTACTGCTGCAAAGGAACGTAAACTAGTTTGCATCTTTGGTCCAGCTTTCTTGATTAACTTATATCCTATGTTCGATAAACCTGGAGCGGATTTATTGTTGCATTCTTTTAGCGTAGCGAACCATTCCTCTTGCGTAGGTTTTTCCATAATGTCTTTGTATATATTTTCATCTATTTCCACAATTGGCGCATAATGAACAGCCCATTCCTCTGAGATATTCAGTTATCAAATTCATGACTCCGATGTTTCTGTAATTCTACATATTGGTCGTCAGCTCTGTTCATTATATCCTCTGGTTCTGTAATGAGTTCTATTTTGCCAGTAACAGGATCTTCTTGCACGAGCCTGTCAACTATTATTTTGTCTTTGTGCCTGTTAAGTAAGCTGTTTAACATCTTTGTTTAATTGTTTTTAATCATAGCAGCTCGTTTGTTGATGTAATCCTCAATTTGCTGATTTTGTGCTTTGGTGCGGTATTTTTTAATCAGTTCCATTGTTTGATTCCAAGCTGATTTTATATGTAGTGCCCAGGTTTGATTCCATATCGTTGGGACTTCTATTATTTTAAATTCCGGATTATGTTTGTTAATATAAGTGGTATCTGTTGAACCTATTCTTTAGATTAAGTTGCGTCGGTTGTTCCATGAATTTATTACACGTCAAGTAAATTAACCGTAGTCTTCGTAGTTGAACAAATAGGAATTTCGGTATAGTAATCGCCGATTTCTTACGTGCCATATTTTTCCCCACTTTGATTTTCTTGTTGGGAATCTTAGATTTTGCTGCTTTTAATAATATATCTTTAATAACCTGCCATATACTATTAATGTCTTTCTTATTATGCTAATCTTGGTTGAGCAATATTTCTAAATTGCTATTAACATGTTCATCATCAGTTTTTGTTGTGTACCCCTGCCATTTATCGTTGTCCATTGATGCGTAATCAAAAATTAATCTTTCGTTATTGTTCCTGGCGCACGTAAATGCTTTGTAATTCCTGATGATATCGCTAGTATTGTATATGCACGTGACTATGTTTTGATCATTATTCGTCACAGCCTTCGCATCTTTTATTGAACTGTGTATAAGTTCGTTTGTCCAGTTTGGACTAAGCCAAATATAATCGATTCTTGTACTGTTGCTGCCATTAGACCATGTAAATTCTTTTTTGTTAGTATTGTCTTCCCTATATGTGTCAATAATATCATTATCCAGTAACGTGTTGAAAATTCGATTATTATTCCACTGCTTGGTGACATGTATTTTATCTTGATGTTTATTAACTATAGCATTTAAGTCACCTGCTATAATGAGATAATTATTATTATTATTATTTTTATACTCATTTATTTGATCAGTGATGAATTTAGCAACTTCAACTTTTTCTTGGGCATCGTTGGTTGGCATATATACCTGTACTATACTAATCTAACATTGTTTAAAAATCAATTGGACATAAAGGATATTGTCTGTTGGATTAAGGATTTTTCCTATATGTTTCGCCCATTTGTCTTTCATGTATAACGCTATACCCTTTCCTTTTTTTTTAATCTGATCGCATTTGGACTATATTATATGACCTTCATTTAATTCGTTGTTGATGTATTTCCCATCCTTTGGTGATATATTGGTTTCATTAAGTCCAATAATATCAAAATCCTTCAGATCGTCTATTAAACTATATAGTTTGTCAGGATTTGATTTCAACCCATTAATATTATAAGTGGCAAAAGAAATAGTGGGAAATTTTGCCTTTTGTAGTTGGTTTTGTTGCTCATTAATAAATCTGTTTCGTTTCATGTTCAGTAATTCATTTATATCTTGCATAACCTGATCATTGATATCTTGTAAATGTTGTTGTTCAGGTGTATTTTTTTTATTGTATGCATTTGGGTATTCTCTTGTGCTGTTATTATTTATTTTATCTTGTATTGAATCCTCGTGAGATTTTCCATTGTTTTGAGCTTGTGTTATGTAATTATGATTCCTATACTGTGAGCCTTGATGTAAGTGAGAGGAAAAATTCAGATCTCGGCTATTGATCTGCCTCTCATTCCTTGATACAACTGTTCTTGAAAAGAGATAAGAGGTGAGTAAGCATCTTTTAGCAGAGATTCATCACTTCATCCCAGTCCCCTTGGCGATTTTGATTATTAGGTGTATTACTATTTGTGCTTGAAGTATCAGAGGAAGTATTATCCGAAATGATTATGTTGTCTTTGTTGTTGTTCATAGAGCAGTGAGATTTAAGGCCTAGCGGGATTTTGTTAGATCCACTGGCGCAATATGGTATATTATCTAAGTTTTTTTTGGTGATGTTGTGATTTTTCGAATTTTGATTATTCTTGAATCTCTGATTCCTGTGGGTATGTCTACCAAGGGTTATGTTTTGACCTTGTATATGAGGTTTATTATTCACCTTCTCTTTGGAATCATCATCATGGTTTGCCGCTGTTTCTTGTTAGTCTACTAATTGTGTTTGATTGGATTTGTCAGGTATGTGATTGCTCTTGTCAAGTTGTAACTTCTTTAATTTACTTATGGCGCGTTCCCTTTGTGGCCAGTTGTAACCTAATGGGTTTCCTTTGATATTGAAATCGCTAAAGTGATAATTCTTGTCACAAGCATTAAAGAGGTCAGCCTCGTTTTGAAATTCCACAATGATCTTGTCTGGTCTCTGCTTGAATGCGCTTTTGGGGTTAAAAGGAGCAGTAATTTCCAATGCTTTCGCCGCTGTATGCTCTTTTCCAAAACCTATAAATTCACCTCTATGCTTCTTTCTTTCATCAAAATCACTAGCTTTGAAATGCGCAGGGCCAAGACGGTAAATATAGTTTTCAATATCAATGGACCATACATTCTTCAACAGCTGTCTTGCTTATTCGTCCTTTACTGTGAAGTAAACAGTCATAGTATTCTCTGACCTGTATTTAAAACTTTTGTCCGTTATGAAAAAAGGGCTACCATGCAGTAAGCGTCTAATGCTACTTTCGATGCTAGTTCTATCTATATTGTTAGGTATTTCCAAAATTTTGAACTCTCTACTAGAAATTCTTTGACCATGTAGCGTATAGTACTTCTTTTCTTTCATTTTAAGGTTGCTGTCCTTGAAAAAATGATTAAACAATCGTACCATGCGTCTCATCCCACCAATTGCGTAGTTCTTTATAATAATGTGTTTATCAGTCGCATTGTATTCTACTCCAGCGTAGTCTGAGAAGTTACGTACGTTAAGTTCGATGAAGGCAAATTTATCATCAAACGAGTCATAGAAGTTTATATCATTAATTGGAATGTAAGCATCGTAAGTTGCGACTTTTTTTTCTATAAACGTGTGCATTGATGTTTGGTTGCGTGTTGAATGTTTTTTGATATCCGTGAGAACTTTCTTTGGTTTCTTAATTTTTGAAGGTGGATACCAATTGTGATCTGTCTTATCATCGATTTCTGTACATTTTTGATTGTCAGCTTTTGTTTTAATGGCTGATTCAAATTCTTGGATTGATGATGCGGCTTTTGATGCATCTTGATCTTTAAGATCCATTTCTTCCTTATAATTGGAGATTGAGTTGTCCATTATATTATCTTCGGCTTCCGTCATAATTACGTCTTGGTTAATCAGCCACAGTTCCAAAATATTATCCACTTCTTCACTACCTTTCGATGAAAGCGAAGATGGAAAGACGTATGACGAGGGCATATCTATGTTATTCTGCACTGTTGAAATGTCTATTAATATTTCTGATTGATTGTTAAAGTCGAGTACAGGAATGGCAATGATGTCCTCCATATCAGATACGTGAGTATTCTGATTTCTGTTTTTTCCATAATTCGTTGGTATCTTTGACGAAACTTTGCTATTATGTTTTTCTAAGTCCAATTCCTCCTTATCGTTGTATTGTTGTTGAACAAAATTTACGTCTGTTGAATTAAGAGGTTGAAGTTCCTTATTTTTTGATTTTCGTTTCTTTTTATTCAGTGGTACAATCTCTGTTGTTTCTTTATTGTTATCACGTGATTGATAGGACGTAGTATCGGGATGACGAGAATCCTTAGAGTTGTCGACATTGGGACCCGTAATTTTGTCTGTTATATCATTAGTTAAATGTTGTGTACCATCTTGGTATGGGATATTATTATTAGAAGTTGGTACAAGATTCCTAGATCCAGTCGGTAAATTGTCATTGTTTTGTTGTTGTGCTGAAAAACGCGCGAAAATATTATTTTGTTCTTCTTGCACCAAAAATGTTTGTACTCTTCTTATCCACAATGCTACCGCAATTTTAATATTTCCAAGCCTTTACGCGAGCAAATATTCATCGTGTAGGATAAGTGGACCAGCTAGTTTTGCTAAAATTTTGTATTTTTCATCGTCTATAAAGCTATCATTAATAAACGAAGAACCTTTAAAAATAAAAGACAATTTCGTAAAGTCCATGTTGTTAGTATCGTTAAAGCTGAAACATATAAACTATTAGTAATTAGTAGCAACAATAACGTTGATATTTTATAAATAAAATAAAGTTTTTCCAACTCTTTGAGTTATACCCTGCGGTATTTTTCTGCCATGAAATATTGGTTTCAATAATTCCGGAAAGAGTTTGTCCCTTTTATTTTTTTATTAAAAAACGTCAAAGTGCGACGTTTTTAATAAAAAAATTTTTTTTTTATTTTTTAGTTTAAAAACGTCGCACTTTATGTTTTTTAACTAATTTAATTTATTTTTTATAAAAAAATGTCAAAGTGCGACGTTTTTAATAAAAAATTTTTTTTTTTTTTATTTTTTAGTTTAAAAACGTCGCACTTAACGTTTTTTAACTAAGTTTAATTTATTTTTTATTAAAAAAACGTCAAAATGCGGCGTTTTTAATAAAAAAATATATTTTTTTGATTTTAGTTTAAAAACGTCGCACTTGACGTTTTTAACTAATTTAATTTGTTTTTATTAAAAAACGTCAAAGTGTGACGTTTTTAATAAAAAAATACAATTTTTTTTATTTTTTAGTTTAAAAACGTCAAAGTGTGACGTTTTTAATAAAAAAATACATTTTTTTTTTATTTTTTAGTTTAAAAATATCACACTTGGCGTTTTCTAACTAATTAATTTTTTTTCTTATTAAAAAACGTCAAGTACGACGTTTTTTCTTTTCTTTTCTTTAATTTTTTTTAATCAAGAACGTTAGTATCGTTCTTCTTGCCACAAATCACATGATTGCAAAATCGCGCAATCTGCAATATTACGGAATTGTTTAATTACCAAATTTTTGCAGATCGATCTTATCAATTTTAATCTTTTTTTTACATTTTTTTCATTTTTTTCATTTCTAATATTAATTATATACTAATTTCTTTATAATAATAATAATAACTTTAATTATAATAATGACTTCTGAGTTCGAAGAAAACGACATTGAGGAAACGGCTGAGGAAGAAGCTGAGGAAGAGGCTGAGTATGAGACTGAGGAAGAAGTTGGGGAAGAAGCTGAGGAAGAAGTTAAGGAAAAGGCTGAGTATGAGACTGAGGAAGAGGCTGAGTATAAGAATGAGGAAGAGGCTGAGTCTGAAACTGAAGAAAATCAAGTTGATGATACTGAAACTGAGGAGCAGCAGATTGAAAAAAATATTGAGCGTGAAGTAGAACAAGAAGAAACTAATACGAAGAAACGTAGTTGGGTGTGGGAGCACTTCACATATGATGAAACTGTGAAGAAGGCAAAATGCAAGCATTGTAAGATTTTAATTGCTTGCAATAAAGGAAGTACGTCAGGAATGGCTGGTCATATTAAAAGTAAACATAAATTAATGAAAGAAAAAGGAAAAAAACAACTTACAATACGTGAATCTATTAATAATTCTAAAGTAATTGTAAGTATAATGTTCATTTCTTTTTATTCAGTTTATAGGTTATAATTTTGTGCATTAAATATGAATATTTTAATTTTTAAATTTATAAACTCATGTATTTTATTAATATTTATATTTAGGTATATAGTAAAGAAACTTTTAAAAAATTTATTATTCGATGGATTGTAAAAAATGACCTTCCTTTTACTTGTGTTGAATCTGAAGATTTTTGTAATATGATTTTTCTTTTACGTAAAGATGCATTCATTCCATCTGCTGATACAATCAAAAATTATATTATGACATCTTTTAATGATAGTCAAAAAAAAGTTGCTTCTATTTTACAGGTTGTATATATTAATGTTTTTTAATAATAGTTTTATTTGAATTTTACTAATTATTATTTTAATTTTTGTAGAATACGTCTAGTAAAATTTCTTTTACGATCGACGTATGGACTTCATCAAATAATTTTTCTTTTTTGGGAATAACAGCTCATTGGGTTACAGAAAATTGGAAATTAAAAAGTTTCCTTTTAGATTTTATTAAACTTGAAGGGCCGCACTCAGGTGCCAATATCAAAGATGCTTTTTTAAAAAGCTTAAAAAATTTTAATATTGAATCAAAGGTTAGTTTTTTTTATAAATAATAAGATAATTTTAATAAAAATTAAAAAAAAAATTTATATAGATTCTTGGAGTAACGACTGATAATGCCAGCAACAATGTTACATTTCTCAAAGCTGTTGAATCTAATCTTTCTCAAAAATATATCTATTATGATAGTGAAGATAAGCACGTTCGTTGCTTGGCCCATGTAATCAATTTGGCAGCGCAACAAGTCCTTACTACCCTTAAAGCCACAGATAATGATGAATCATCAAATGAAGAAGTTGGTAGTTTGATAGTTAAGGTAAATAATTTTATTATATTATTATTATTAAAATTTAATTAATAATCTATTAAAAATTGTATTGCCTTTTAGCTTCGTACTCTTATTAAAAAAATAAAAGCATCACCCCAATAAGTAGATAAATTCAAAGCTCAATGTAAAGTTGCAAATGTTCTAAATCTAAATGTCATACTAGATGTTCGCACTAGATGGAACTCTACGTATGATATGCTTATAAGGGCAAGAAAACTTAAGGAAGTAAATTTGTTATTTTATTAATTTTTATTTTAATTAATTTATTAAAAACAATTATAATTTTATTTTTAGCCTCTTAATATATTAAGTAACAGTGATTCAAATCTTCGTCCTTTTACAATTAATGAAGATGAATGGATTAATTTGTTAGAAATAGAAGAGTTATTGAAGGTTAAATTTTAATTATATATATATAATTATGTATTTTTATAGTTTTATTAAAAATTTTTATTTTTTAGTATTTTGCTAAAGTAACAAAGCAAATTTGTGGAGAAACATACCCAATACTATCATACGTGATTCCTATATACAATATTTTGTTAAATAAATTAGAGTATTTTTGGGATACTCCAAATAGATTTGAAAATGTAAAAGTAAGTTTATTTATATTTAATATTTATATTAAATGTAATTAAATTCCTTTTTTTTTAATAGGAAGCGGCAATTAATGCCATTAATAAGCTTAAAATTTACTACAATAAAACTGATTCAACTTTATATGCAGTTTCTTTAAGTAAGTTATTATTAAGTTAATTTAATTTAATTAATTTTAATAATGTTTGTAATATATATAGTTTTAGATCTACGTCTTAAAGTAGAATATATGAAAAATAATGAATGGGAAACCCAATGGGTTGATAGAACAAAAAAAACTGTATGAGTTTTATTTGTTTTATTTAAATTATATTATAATTTTCTTTATTTTATACATACTATATAATAATTTAATAGGTATCTGAACTCTATATGATGTTATATACACCTCAAGAAACTCAAAATACTAATATAGAATATAATTCATCAGATGAAGATCTTGTTTCACATATTTCCAAATGGCGCCGTATTGAAACTGTAAGTGAATTTGATCGTTATTTTAATGCTGATCGTGCACAAGCTCTGTGTGATACTTTAAATTGGTGGAAAGTAAGTTTATTATTTTAAAGGATATTTATTTAATTAAATATTTGTAACAATTTTTTAATTAATAGCGACACGAGGAAGAATATCCTAACTTATCGAACATGGTCAAGGACTATCTTGGGGTCCCAGGTTTATTACTAATCTGTTTTATTTATTATTCAATAATATTTTTTAATGTAAAATATTTTATTTGGTAGCAACGAGTGCTCCTGCTGAACGTATTTTTTCCAGCGCAGCTGACGTAATAACATATGATAGAGCAAGTCTTGCACCTGAAACTGTGCGTGCAGTCGAGTGTCTGAAGTATTGGTTTCATTCAGGTGTTTTAGATTAAAGTTAAGTTTATTAGTTTTTCATATTTGAATTTTGTTATTTGAAGTTAGTTATTTGGATGAAGAAGAATTGGATACTCAGGAAAACTTTGGATGAATAATTTACATCAAAAGAAGATGATTGATATAATTTCTTACGATAACCTCACTTCTTTCTTTATAACACAATGTTGAAAATGTATGGAAAATGTGTGTTGATAGCTTTTAATTTTCACAAATAAAATTGTTAAACCTGATCCAATTCAATCAAAGTCTTACGAAAATGCTTTTTCATAACCAATTTAATAAAAAAAAATAGATCGTTGATGTTTTTTTAAAAAAACGTTGCAAAACTGTGTTTGTTTCGCAACGTTATTTTTTGAAATTTTTTATTAGTTACACCGGTCAAATGAAGTATCGGGTAATAACATATCAGGGCATCATATGCAATATTAAACGATATGTTTAATAGATTTGTATGGTTTAGTTTATTTGCTTATTTGCGTACAATATTAATCGATTTTTATTTTAGATATTGTACGGTGTTGTATTTATATTGGTTAATATTATGAAATATTACATGATCGAAGTTTCTCTTAAAAAAAAAAGAAATAAAATTTTTTTTTATTTAGAAAAAAAAGTATTCGTTTCAGGTACAGTCAACTCTCTTTATAGTCACACATTTGGGACAGTCCATATTTGGTAATTATGAAGAGATGTGACTATATAAAAAATTTCTTATATTTGTATATCATAATTCCAGCCAAAAATTAACATAATTTTAGCCAGAATTATACTTAAAACTTTATTGTATCGTAACTTCGCCAATATTAATCGTAGAGAGATGATCTTACCGCCATTCGATTCGTCTTGATGAGACGGTTCTAATGGTATAAAATACGTCGAAATCCAATCACTAGATTAATTTCCGAAATTAAAAAAATATTAATGGTTTTTGTGTAATAACTCTGTCAATATTGATCCTAGAAAGACGATCTTACTACCATTCGATTCGTCGTGATGAGACGAATCTAATGGTATAAGATACATCGAAATCCAATCACTAGATCAATTTCCGAAATTAAAAAATATTAAATAGTTTTAAGTAATAACTCCGTCAATATTTATCACAGAGCAGAGAGATGAGCTTACCACCATTCGATTCGTCTCGATGAGGCGATTCTAACGAGCTATAAATCGTCTTTTTATAATCACT